ACACACACTGACTGCATAAAATAGTAAAACTTCCTATCTGTACATTTAAAATATATAACTAAGATACTTGGCAAAAAAAAAAGCATAGAAATTGGGAAGGAGATAAATGAAGGTAATGCATTCTAAGTTCCTTGAATGTTCTGGAAGAAAACAGATTAAATTTCGACTTTATGGCTGGGCACAGTGGCTCACACGTGTAATCCTAGCACTTTGGGAGGACAAGGCAGGCAGATCACCTAAGGTCAGGAGTTTGAGACCAGCCTCACTAACAAAGTGAAACACCATCTCTACTAAAAATACAAAAATTAGCCAGGTGTGGTGGCAGGTGCCTGTAGTCCCAGCTACTCGGGAGCCTGAGACAGGAGAATTGCTTGAACCCGGGATGCAGAGGTTGCAGTGAGCTGAGAATGCGCCACTGCACTCCAGCCTCGATGATGGAGCAAGACTCTGTCTCAAACAAACAAACAAAACACACGTGTGTTAAAACTCATAGAACTATGCATGCTGAAAAGTCAATTCAATGCGTGATAATGTTAAATGTTTAAAGTTGCCATTCGAACAGGTAAGAATCCTTGCTTTCTGTAACTTTATTTTTTTATTTTTATTTTTTTTTGAGACGGAGTTTCACTCTTGTTACCCAGGCTGGAGTGCAATGGCGCCATCTCGGCTCACCGCAACCTCCGCGTCCTGGGTTCAGGCAATTCTCCTGCCTCAGCTTCCTGAGTAGCTGGGATTACAGGGATGCGCCACCATGCCCAGCTGATTTTTTGTATTTTTAGTAGAGACGGGGTTTCACCATGTTGACCAGGATGGTCTCGATCTCTTGACCTCGTGATCCACCCGCCTCGGCCTCCCAAAGTACTGGGATTACAGGCGTGAGCCACCGCGCCCGGCCTCTGTAACTTTTTTTTTTCCTGTTTTGAGAAAAGGTCTCACTTTCGCCCAGGCTGGAGTCCAGTGGTGATCTTAGTTCACTGCAACCTTCACCTCCTGGGTTTGAGCAACTCTTCTACCTCAGCCTCCTAAGTAGCTTAAATTATAGGTGCGTGCCACCATGCCTAGCTAATTTTTGTACTTTTAGTAGAGATGGGGGGTCTCGTCATGTTGACTAGGCTGGTCTCGAACTCCTGACCTCAAGTGATCAACCCACCTTGGCCTCCCAGGCATAAGCCACCATGACCAGCCAATTTGCTGTAACATTTAACACTGGTACACATATATGCCTAAAAACTACTTTTGTTTGCTCTGATGTATACATAAAGGGAATCACACAGCATGTCCTCTCTTATATGTGGCTTAAGATTACATCAATGTGTGATTTAGTTCATTCATTCTCATTGATGTATAATATTCCATTGTGTGAATATAACACAATGTAGTTATGCATGCTCCTGTTGGTACACAATTAGATTGTACTTAGTTTTTGCTATTACAAAGTGTTAATTACTATAACTCTTCCAAATTTAATGTATGTACAAGTTAACCACTCCTAATATAGGATGGCAAAAATCAAACCTAACTAACTATCCAATGGGAGGATGACTAAACAAATTATGGCTATAATTAAAAATAGTAATAATAACATAAATCAAATTTTAGTTTTTCAAAGCATCATTCACAAACCCCCAGCATACAGAAGGTGAAACCAGTGTCGCCCAGGATCAGACACAAGAGATAAAAGCTGACACTCACCTGGAAGAGTTCTTTAAATGAGGGGTGTACCATAGGGTTGGGAACAAAAGGAAGAGCATAGAAAGGAAGAAACTCCGTGGTCTGGCTCAAGGCTGCCCCTTTGGTCTCCAGGTAGGTTTTGAAATAAGAAATCTTTTCATCCAGCTCCTCTTTGTCCTGGAAGAAGAAAACACTGATTTGAGGTCTCCGGATCAATGCCTAGTCCACCTGCTCACCCCATCCTCTCTCCAAGGCTCCTTCTGTCCCAGTCGTGTCGCTGGTGTCCAGTGCCTGCTGGAGTCATGGGAATGCAAACAGATACTTATTTATATCTGAAATAAATATCTGTCTGGCAGGTGCACAGTCTAGTATTCTACCATCCACCCTAAATTTCCCCCTTAATGAAACTTTGTCAGGAAGATCAGAGAACTATATATACAGTTCAATATGCTTCTATTTAACTTTATTACTGCCATTTTCTCACATCCTTAAAATTCTTCATAAACATTTTTATTGGCAGGATAAAACCTCATCTTCTCTGTCATATTTATTTAACTAATTTCCCCATTATTAGATATACACATTGCTTCCATTTTTCAGATATAAGCAAGTATCTGTCTGCATTCCCATGACTCCAGCAGGCACGGTTTCTAAAGGTTAACAGCATTTCTTTATGGTGTTTTGAAACAGAAGCTTCTGCATCATTCCTTTCCTTTCTTGTGCTAAGGGCTGGGCTTGCTCTCCATCACGATTCATGTATATCCCAGGCAAGTCCGTTCCCTTTTCGGGGTTTCTGTCTCCTCTTGGCCCTCAATGAGAAAACCGAGGTGAATTTGGGGCTCTGCTTCCCTGCCCCCCGCTGGCTCTACCAATCACGGCCTTCACAGTCTCCTCCACAGGCTAAGCCTGTTCTTACAATCATGTCTGATGGTGTACCATGAGACCCCTAGACTCTAAAAACAGACAACATTTGGACCCCTACACTCTAAAAACAGATAATGTTTTTGGACCTCTAGACTCTTAAAAACAGATAACGTTTGGACCCCTAGACTCTAAAAACAGATAACGTTTATTGATTTGTATCTTATATCAAAATTGAACATTTTAAAAATAGAAATAAAAATTTTAAAAAAGAAAAATCAAGAACCAAGAAGAAACAGAAATACAAACAGAAAATGGAAATCTCCTGTGATCTTCCCTGCAAGAGTAATAACCTGAGGAACGCCTTCCAAGAACAGCTACTACAATGTATGGTCTGCTGCTCCCTCCACCACTGTCCTCGCCTTTGGTGTTCTGACATTCTCATGCATCACATTGGTCCGCAGGGAAGGAGTTAACGTGCAGCGTCAAATGCCAGCTCGCCTCTGCTGCCCTTCTGTCATTTCCTCTGCACTCAAAGCTCAGCCACCGAAGCAGCTTGACATTCTAGCCCTCTCCATTCTTCCCATCTCCTGCCCCATTTGGGAAAAGACTGCAGACCCTAAATTCAACCTATAACCCAAAGGGACTTTCCACAAACAGACACTTTTCCACTACTTAAGTTTAAATGTATGTTCTGGCCAGGGACAGTGGCTCATGCCTGTAATCCCAGCACTTTGGGAGGCCCAGCTGGGAGGACTGCTTGAACCCAGGAGTTCAAGACCAGCCTGGGCAACATAGCAAGACCTTGTCTCAAATAAATAAGCAAATAAATCTATGTTCTAATATAGGGTCTAATATGCAGCTGAAATATGTATTCTCTTAGACATACATGTCTACATATTAAGTTGCCAACTAAACTTTATTTTAATGAGTTTTCAAAAACTTGAGGTATTTAAAAAAACAATGTAGCTCTGATTACAGAAATTATTAAATCTCCATAGAAATTAGAAGATCAGCTGCTTGGAATAAGGTAGAAAATCACTCACCAGGACAGAAGATACCTGTACCTTGTAAGCAATATGACAACATAGCCACATATGAAATCCACATTCACGTGGAAAATGACAGCAAATGCTGCTCCTTAACACACCACTCAGACCCACCCGCATCACCAGGTGAACCCACCGGTCTCCCCACAGAGTGCTTCAGAAGATAGATGGCAAAATGGATGTGGAGATAGAATTCCAGCTTCTGGGCAAAGGAGTCCCCATCGCGGATGAAACTGGGAATGTGCTCCTCCCACAGATCAAAGAATACCTTCTGGTCTCCGTTGTCAAATGCAGTGACAAGATCCCTCTGTGGAAAAGACATCAGACCACACCTAGTTGTGAGTTTCAACACCCAAAATTCTCACAACCCACTCAGCACCACGGATCTCCCATATCCTCCTTTTCAGAGGTAAAAAATAGAAAAATAGAGATCCCACAGTATTTAAGTTCTGGAGACTGCAATTCCTGCAGATCAACCCTGGGTTCCCACCCCTTTGCAGTAATATCTAATCTGAGCACTATAAAGAACACACAAAACATTTAAGGTCTTTGCAATAGAAAGAATCAAGCATAGAACAAAGACTTGGGGCCAGAGAACTCATAGACACGTGGATATACTGGTCACCCTTTGGACCTGCTGACCCACCGCGTGCAACTGACAAAAACTGGCCAGACCAAGAGTCTAGCCGGGCCTCCCAGGAACAAACCTCACACACACAGAAGGTTGCTGACAGCACAGCTCCACATCCTGGAGTGGCCAGGAGCCCAAACACACTAACCCAGTCAACACTGGGCCCGGGAGGTAGCGCTGACACTTGTCCCGTTGCTAGAAGCACGCCAGGCAGAGACGGAGCTGAAGGAAGCCACCATAGACCCCAATATACCATAAGGTGACTGTCCATGCCTGCCAGCTGCAATTGCAGTGACGGAGAAGGCTGGAGATGGAGGAAGGAGCACTGGCTCAGTGCCGTTTGGCCACAGAGCTGTGTGAGTCTACCTGATACAGTGGCAGTATCCTGATTTACCAACCTGTGCACTACTTGAGAGAATTCTGGAGAAAGGAGGTGGCAATTATCAAGCCACCTGTCTCACAAGGAAGATAACTCACCTGTCACAAATAACTGTCGCATAATTTTGTGGATTTAAGTACAAGGCAGAAGTGAAGGACTTCCTAGCAGTCCAAAACAATGCAGCTGCTACTGTTCTTTTTATATCAAATGCCCAAGATGACTGAACTTACATTTTGTGATCAACTGCAAAAGTGTTTCTGCGATTGGATTTTCTATAGAATCCCCAATTCCCCACCCAATACCATTGTTATTTACCACCATTATTTGGCCATTGTTCTTTTATACTTTTAAAAATTAGTTTACATGGCCCAGTGTGGTAGCTCACACCTGTAATCCTAGCACTTTGGAAGGTCTAGCTGAGCAGATCATCTGAGCCCAGGAGTTCAAGACAAGCCTGGACAATATGGTAAAACCCTGTCTCTACAAAAAGAATACAAAAATTAGCTGGGCATGGTGACACATGCCTGTAGTCCCAGCTACCTGGGAGGCTGAGATGGGAGGACCATCTGAGCCCCAGGGGGAACAGGTTGCAGTGAGCTGAGACTGCACTACTGCATTCCAGCCTAAGCAATAGAATGGGACCCTTAGAGAGAGAGAGAAAAAGTATTTACGAATAATTTTCCTGCATAATTGTCATTTTTTTAAATTACTTGTTTTATTTGTTTATAAGCAATTTTTCTATTTTCTAGCATATAAAATGGAAACGTATAGAGAACAAACAATGTAACAGTGTTTGGTTACACTGTCAAAGATGTTGATTAGTAAGAAATCCTCAAATGCTAATATTACAAAAGTGTTCACTGTCATGTGATCAAGAACTGTGTCTGAATACTGCCTATGCTGGATGGTGCTCGTTACATTGGAAGTAAACTCAGAATTTTTCAAATAAGCCCTACGATGAGCATCTACCTCCTCCAGGCTGGCTCTTCTCTTCCTCCAGGACATAAGCAAGGAACAGTCTGTTAGCATCTGTGGGTGGGGTGTGCCAAAACAAAGCGCAAGCCGATGAATACAGCCACCTCTGGGAAGAATTTGGGGAAGCTGGCCAGAGACCAGCATGCTAGTTAATGACTGCCACAAAGGTGAAGGGATCCTCCCAGGAGCAATGCTGTGGGGCCAGGCTCAGCCCCATGCTCGCCTCTGCCAAGGTCCCAGGCAAGTCCTGTGACCACTCCTCAGGAGGCCTTGCCACGAGAAGTGGGGTGACCAACAGCCCTCTGTGTGGATGAGGCAATTGCAGACTCTTGAGATATGTTATGGCTTAGAGAAAAGGTATTTTCTTAACGTGGCCTGGCAGAGTCCACAAGTCAAACGGCCCATCTACAGTTTGTTCTAAAGTCTGTATTTGTAGATGTGAAACCACAAACCTTTGCTATGTCATTATAATCACATCTATCATCTATCCTAACTCATGACTCATATTCTGTGCCTGGAAATGGTCCCTGAGCTTAAAATAATACCCACACATAAAAGGATCCACTATTACAACTTATAGTCACAAAATATTAGTGATGTTCTATAAACCATGATCAAACTAGAATCAACAAGATGAGAAAATGTGTACACTATCGATAGTAACTCGTAAACACACACGCTTCTCACCTTTCACAACAATGTAGACATACTTAACACTACTGAACTATACACATAAAACTGCTTGGGGAAAATCACTATGTTTTGGGTTCCACTAACAATTGGCATATTTTGTTGAACCTCAGTTCTAGGCATTTTTTTTCTTTTTCTATTTTTTTCCCCAAACTCTTCTTCACTCAAACCAGGTATTTTTCATTTGAGAAATCTACCATAGTGGGGGACACAGCTGTTGATTGGATGAGCAGAAAAGACACGCTTGTGACAATCGGAAAGTTTGTCCTGAAGACATCAGAGAAATACAAATCAAAACAATGACAAGATATCACTTCAAACCCATCAAAATGGCTAAATTTTTAAAAACACACACAGAAAAACTAACAGGTGTTGACAAGGATATAGAGAAATTGGAACATTTGTGTACTGCTGGTGGGAAAGGAAAATGGTACAACCACTTTGTAAAACGGCTTGGCAATTCCTCAAAACATTAAAAATAGAACTAGGCCGGGCTTGGTGGCTCACGCCTGGAATCCTAGCACTTTGGGAGGCTGAGGTAGGCAGATCATGAGGTCAGGAGATCGAAACCATCCTGGCCAACTTGGTGAAATCCTGTCTCTACTAAAATACAAAAAATTAGCCAGGCATAGTGGCTAAAATTACCCAAAATTACCCACGCCTGTAATCCCAGCTACTCAGGAGGCTAAGGCAGGGAACTTGCCTGAACCTGGGAGATGGAGGCTGCAGTGAGCTGAGATCACACCACTGCACTCCAGCCTGGGTGACAGTGCGAGACTCCATCTCAAAAAAATAAAATAAAATAAAATAGAACTACCATTTGATCCAGCAATACTTCTGGGTATACATACAAAAGAACAGAAAGCAAGGCTTTAAAGAGACACTTGCACACCCAGGTTCACTACAGCACTATTCTTAATAGCAAAGAGGTGGAAGCGACCCAAGTGTCCATCAACAGAAGAACAGATAAACAAGCTGTGGGGTGGGGTGTGTGTGTGTGTGTGTGTGTGTGTGTGTGAGAATATACATCACAGAATATTATTCAGCCATAAAGAAAGGAAATCGTGTCATACACTACAACATGAATGAACCTTGACGACATTTTGCTGAGTGAAATAAGTCAATTACAGAAAGACAAATACTGCATGATTCCATTAATATGACATATCTAAAGCAGCCAATTCACAGACAGAAAGTAGAATAGTGGCTGCTAAGGCCTAGGGGGAGGTGTTAAGTGGGGAGAGATTTTCAGATTTGTAAGATGAAAACTTCTACAGATGTTTCACAACAATGTGAATACACTTAACACTATTAAACTGTACATATAAGAATAGTTAAGATTTTTGGTTATCTTTAATAATAATTTTTTAAAAAGACCTAAAGAGGCATCTGAGTGTTCTCAGATGCAGCTGGAGCTGAAATGTGATGGCAAACCAGGTGCAAAAAGTGTACAGCAGCCACCTCTGGAGGGACTTGATATGCAAAGAAGCTTCAAGACACAGGGCCTGTTGCCCTTACCCTGTATCATCACATAATCTGGTCATGTGTGAACTTCACAAAAGATTCTCACTGTTCTGCTAGTTAGGTATTGAGGATTTGCTCTAATCCTCCCAAATGGTAGCTTTAATTAAGAGATGCTCACATATACTTCCAACGTGTAGGGTAAAGGTCTTTCTTCATCCAGAAAAAAACAGGGAAGCCAGGTGCTGGGGAATGAAGCTGATTTCCCGAGGAACACACTTTACTCTAAGAAGCTGCTTTCACCTCTAATAATGACTATATTCTTGTGTGTTCTGAAAATTTCGCTCCAGGTATGGGCATGCCAGGGAGGTCTGGCTGCTGTAGCATCCACAGAAGAGTCTGTGTCGACATGAAGCAGCAGCAGCAGCTCAGCATCCAGGCGCCTGAGGCCTGAAAGAGAACAGGCAGAGGGTGCAGCCCCACCTTGAGCTCCATGGGTCACTTCAACAGTGCCCCACTCTCAACAGTGCCCATGCCAGGCCACTCGGGGTCGAGGACCATGAGAAAAACAGTGGTGGCTGCCACCTGAACTCTAGCTACTCAAGGGGCTTGCAAGCCAAGCCTCCAATTATTTCTGAAAATAGGCATGTTAAAATTTAAAAATCTGCTAGAATAACAAGGCCCCAGGTGCAGTGGCTAATGCCTATAATCCCAGTGCTTTGGAAGGTTGAGGCAAGAGGATCACTTGAGAATGGGAGTTTCAGACCAGCCTGGGAAACACAGCAAAACCTTGTCTCTATATAATCTTTTTTAATTAAAAAAAATTAAATAGGCCGGGCGCGGTGGCTCAAGCCTGTAATCCCAGCACTTTGGGAGGCCGAGGTGGGTGGATCACGAGGTCAAGAGATCGAGACCATCCTGGTCAACATGGTGAAACCCCGTCTCTACTAAAAATACAAAAAATTAGCTGGGCATGGTGGCATGTGCCTGTAATCCCAGCTACTCAGGAGGCTGAGGCAGGAGAATTGCCTGAACCCAGGAGACAGAGGTTGCGGTGAGCCGAGGTCGCGCCATTGCACTCCAGCCTGGGTAACAAGAGCGAAACTCCGTCTCAAAAAAAAAAAAAAAAATTAAATAATAAATAATAATAAAATCATCCAAAGGTGGAACATGCTGTCTCAGAAAATGGTAGTCTGACTCACTGGAAATATTCTAAGTGAACTGATTATTTTCCTGGCATATTACAAATGAGATTGAGACATCAAATAATGGTTAAATGACTTTTTTATTTTTTTGGAGACAGGGTCTTACCCTGTCTCTACAGCTGGAGTGCAGCAGTATGATCATGTTCAACACAGCCTTGATTTCCTGGGCTCCAGTGATTCCCCTAACTCAGTCACCTGAGTAGCTGGGACTACAGGTGCCTGCCACCATGCTTGGCCAATTTTTTTTTTTTTTTTTTTTTTTTTTGAGACGGCGTTTCGCTCTTGTTACCCAGGCTGGAGTGCAATGGCGCGATCTCGGCTCACCGCAACCTCCGCCTCCTGGGTTCAGGCAGTTCTCCTGCCTCAGCCTCCTGAGTTGCTGGGATTACAGGCACACGCCACCATGCCCAGCTAATTTTTTGTATTTTTAGTAGAGACAGGGTTTCACCATGTTGACCAGGATGGTCTCGATCTCTTGACCTTGTGATCTACCCGCCTCGGCCTCCCAAAGTGCTGAGATTACAGGCTTGAGCCACCGCGCCCGGCCCGCTTGGCCAATTTTTTATTTTTTATAGAAACAAGGTCTCGGCTGGGCACAGTGGCTCACGCCTGTAATCTCAGCACTTTGGGAGGCCAAGGCAGGTGGATCACTTGAGGTCAGGAGTTCGAGACAAGCCTGGCCAACATTGTGAAATGCAGTCTCTACTAAAAATACAAAAATTAGCCGGGTGCAGTGACTTCTGCCTGTAATCCCAGCTACTTGGGAGGCCGAGGCAGGAGAATCACTTGAACCCAGGAGGTGGAGATTGCGGATGGCCGAAATCGCGCCACTGCACTCCATCCTGGGTGACAGAGTGAGACTCCATAAAAAACAAAAAAAAACGAGGTCCCACTATATCGCACAGGCTGGTCTTGAACTCCTGGGCTTATGCGCTCTTCCTGCCTCAGCCTCCCAAAGTGCTGGTATTATAGGAGTCAGCAACCATGCCCAGCCAAGGACTTTTATCTAACCCTAAGAGCTGAGGTCTGTATAACCTCTGTGCCCTGGCAACCCACTGGGATTCACAGAGCTGCTCAGACTTGCTTCCACAGGACCTGCCTTGTCAGTCTCACTCTTGCTCCCTGCTCTCTTCACCCGCCCCCAAATGCTCTGCAGGCAGGGGTTGGATTTTGTTTGTTCACTGCTGGATTCCCAGTGCCTGGAATTAACAACCTGTAACTCCTCACAGGGAGGCTACAATTGTCTCAGTTCCTAAACATCGCATGGTTTCTTCTTTTCCTTCTTCCCAAGAAATGTATGTGAAAGATCCAAAAGAACAGAAATTATATGACCACACATTTCCTTGGGAGGGTACAGAGATTTCAAATGACATTGTTAGTTCATCTATAAACACTTGTGCAGTCTAAGGTAACTCTGAGCAGGTGCTCAAAAGCTATTCCAGCACTCTCCAATGGCAGCATTTTCCACAAGTTGGGAGCATCGTGAATTATCTACGGGGATGAAAAATAAGCAAAATGTTACCTGAATTGTCAATGATTTGGAGTCTCTGAAAGATCCGCCTACTGTTTTACATAACGGTTTTCCTTTTATTTTGCATTCTTTTGAAAATGTTTTCAAGGTGTCTTCAAATTCAGCAAAATCTAAATACTATAAAAAAATAAATAATTCAATTCAACAGCAAACAAACCAACAAATAATCCAATTAAAAAACAGTCATGTAATCCCAGCACTTTGGATGGCCAAGGCGGGCGGATCACAAGGTCAGGAGATCAAGGCCATCCGGGCCAATGTGGTGAAACCCGCTCTCTACTAAAATACAAAAAAATTAGCTGGGTGTGGCAGCACACACCTGTAGTCACAGCTACTCAGGAGGCTGAGGCAGGAGAATTGCTTGGACCCAGGAGGTTGAGATTGCAGTGAGCCGAGATCGCGCCACTGCACTACAACCTGGGTGACAGTGTGAGACTCCATCTCAAAAAACAGGCAAAGGATCTGAACAGATTTTCTGCAAAGAAGACATTAAAAAGACAACAGATCTAAGAAAAGATGCTTAACATCACTGACAACCAGGGAAATGCAAATCAAAGCCACAGAGACATCATTATCGCACACCTGTCAAAATGACTATTACAAAAAAGACACAAGTAAAAAGTGTTGGCAAGGATGTGTACAAAAGGAAACACTTGTGCGCTGTTGGTGAGATTATAAATTGGTACAGCCATTTTAGAAAACTGTATGGAGGTTCCTCAAAACAATAAAAATAGAACTACCATATGACTCAGCAATCTTTTTTCTGGGTATATGTAGAAAGGAAATAAAATCAGTATTTCAAAGAGATATCTGCATCTCCATGCTCACTGCAGCATTATTCATAATAGTCAAGACATGGAAACAATCTAAGTGTCTACCAATAGATGAATGGATAAATAAAAAGGGGTATAGGCCAGGTGGCATGGCTCATGCCTGTAATCCCAACACTTAGGGAGGCTGAGGTAGGAAGATCACTTGAGCCCAGGACTTCAAAACCAGCCTGGGCAACAAAGCGAGACCCCATCTCAAATAAATAAATAAATTTTTAATTTTTATTTTATTTATTTTTTATTTTATTTTTTTTGAGATGGAGTTTCGCTCTTGTTACCCAGGCTGGAGTGCAATGGCGCAATCTCGGCTCACCGCAGCCTCCGCCTCCTGGGTTCAGGCCATTCTGCCTCAGCCTCCTGAGTAGCTGGGATTACAGGCACGCGCCACCATGCCCAGCTAATTTTTTGTATTTTTAGTAGAGACGGGGTTTCACCA